ATGCTCCTGTGGATGTGGAAAAACTTCCCCTGCTGGAACCAGGGTTACCGTGGCTGTATGCCTGAAAGCATTTTCCATCTGAGTGTGGGCATTTTTAATTCATCGGTATCCAGCCAAGAAGGCTTCTGCTACTCCTGAGAGGTGGTCTGACTAGAAGAAGTGTTAATAAAACCCACGAAGCACACAGGTTGTGAAAAGCACTGCTGTGGCAGCAGTGATCATCAGCATCACCAGCATGAACATGCAGAGCCCCATAGCCCTCAGCTGAGGTGCCCTCCCAGCCTGGAGGAGGTGAAGGAAGGAAGCAATTAGAGCATCTTTTCCATCGTGGAGCCTGATTGTGTCAAGAATGAGGAAGAACTTCAGAGAGGTGGCCAAGAGCAGCAGGTCTGGGCTGCCTGCCACAGGGGATCCCAGCACATCCCACAGCATCCCACGGCCGTAGAAATCTGGGGCAGGGATTGGTGAGTGATGTTCACAGCCTGGAGCATCCTGACTGCAACTGTAAAAATTCACACACACTCTTTAAGGAGACCTGACTCTCAGACAGCTCGAGATAGACTTTCGCACACCACCAGCTCTAGATGCACCATCAGCAGGGAATGATTTGGTCCCTGGCTACCATCTAGTTAAATTAGCACTTGGAGATGAAGAAAGGAGTGCCCTGCAACTTCCTGGGAGTGATTTCATCTCAGCAGAATGCTTCTCCGGGCCAGGAATGCAGGAATACCTTAGACAAGGCAAGGAAGCTGTCTTTGCCAGGAAAGGCTGCTGAGCTAGTAGATGCCCTAGAAACACATAGAGGAGTTCTTACTCGGTGATTGCAGGAAAAATGTGTGGATAGAGAGGAAGTGTTTTTTCATGGGTTACATAGATGACACGGTTTTTTCAGGTTGGTATGTAGAAATGGCTTTTTCAACCATTGTAAAAGTAAGGTAATTGTGCTAAAGGTATTTAAAAATCTTGTCTGATTTTCTCAGGATGGTTTGTGGAATAGTGTGCAGTGCAGTCGCACTGAAATGGGTAATGGTACCAGTGCACTGTAGCACATAGTTTTCTTTGCTTCCTCATCAGTTTTGCACCCAGCATGACAAAGATCCCCCTACTCATGAGACCAGGTGGAAGACATTCCACATTTCATGTAGAAAAGCAGCAGCTGAGTATCTGGTTGGAGGATTGATTATCCTTATTGATGATGATACAATTTTCACACACACAAACTGAATATGAATTTCAGGATCTCTGCATTATTCTTCTGTTAGTTTATAACTGCTTTGGATATATAAATACCAATCTAAATACTAATTTATATTATATATAAATACCAATCTAGAAAGAGCAACAATCAAGTCTGAGAATGCATTGACAGCTCCTGAGGGTTCAAGAGTACATTCTCTTCTCTGGAATTAGTGTTGTTGGATGACTGGTCTCTGTTTTGGGAAGGCAGCTACAATATCCTGCTATCTGATGGAACATCTATGCTAAATTAAGCACCTAACACTAAAACAGAATCTGAAAAGCACTCAGCCAGCACTCATTTGACTGTACTGTTGTGGAATTGTGTGACTGGGGTAGTCTACAATAAGTGAAGGGATGAATGTTCATACTGTTGATATCACAAGGTGGAAAGATGTAGCTAGCAATCATCCATACTGGCAGAGTCTGTTAGAGGAAGAAGCCTAAAGGCTGAAGAAAGCAAGCTACTGAGAGAAAAACAAGTTAAAAAAAAAAAAAAGGTAAGGAAGTAGAGTCACCCTCTGGTCTCATGGGCTCTTGCCTCATTAAGGAGTCCTGCCATTTTAGAGCTCCACAGCCACTTGTGATGTGACAGGATGCATTTTACAGCTAAACTAGTGGAGTAATTTACAGCAGTGCTTCTTGAGATGGATGCATGCCACACATACTTGTATCTGAGTATAAGCATGACTTTAACGAGGGCTGGGATAGACCTTCAGAGGCAAAAATGTTCCAGGAATGCAGACAGCCTGCATCACCAGAATACTCATGACAGAGAAATTTCTGTTTTCAGATTCTTACTCCTCAGCTGGGAGAAAGTGGGGATCATTCACATGACAGAGGAATCCCTTACTTATACCAGCATAGTAACTTAGTGCCAAGTATCATACCGTGTTGCTCGTTTTTATGGGAAGCACAATAAAATCAGAAGAAGAGACTATGAGGTCTATTCTACATTAGATGGAGCTACTGTTTGAAAAATGCCAGTAAAACTTCATTTCCCTGGGACTTCAGAGAAACTAGCAGTGTACACCCTGCTCATGCCCTGGCACCTCAGAGTGCTGTACTGCATGCAGCTGTGCTGCACACACACGAGCACAAGCTGGGAAGCACCAAATTGAAGACAAGCTGACAAGTCGACAATTTGCTGTGGTGGAAACCTCTTTGTGTATGGAACCTCATTGCATAGCAGCAACCTTTTTTTTTTCCTTTGTTAAAAATATCATGATAGGTGTTAAGTAAACGGAACACCAGAACCCCTCTGTCTTTTGTTTTATACATGCATGACTGCTATTTTCTTTGTCTCTGTAACTAGACCCTGGTACATCATGTTACAGTTGTCACAGTTGCTATTTAAATACATCTCTTTTGTTTAAGATGTTACCGGAATTAATTAAAATAGCAAATCCTCCTGGGAGCAGAAGAACGAGCAAGGCCTGATCACTGGGTGAATTCTGCTCTCCCTATGGTCTTTGCTACGGCCGCCAGCAGGTGCCAGGGCTGTCAGGGTGACTGACGCCTGGCTCCTGCAATTTCCTCAGGTAACTGGCTGGTGGCATCTCCTCTCCCCTAGTGCAAGCACAGGTCTTGATTTCTGTAGCTTCTGTTAAGTCACTGATTTTTAAATTTTTTTTTTTTTTAAATCCTTTCGTGAATCCTGCATCTCTGAGAATTTCCCCACGCCAGATAGGGAAAATCTGGCTAACATGTTAGAAAGTCATTGCATGGGAACCAGGAAGAAGGTGATCAGATGGCAGAAACCATCTAATATTCCTTAAAAATAAAAAACCCAACCGAAGTTTTCTCCTGTCTAAGAATCACAAATTGCTTTGCAAATAATGAATCCGTTGGTTCTCACTCAAGCAATGCCATTTGTCAGAGGAAGTGTTGCTGGAGCAGATCCAGGAGCTGGAAGCACCTTTGTGCAATCTCCGGAGATAAATCCTTGGGAGAATTTCCCCCGTGTTTATCCAGATCCTGAGGAACAATGAGTTTCTGCCTTGTAGGGCATATGCTGAGGTGCCTAAGCTCATTCCTAACATGTGAGTGTGATGATCCACCTGTGCTAATTACCCAGCTGAGAAGAAGGGTAAATTAACAGGGTGTAGAACTGTATTAACATGGCTGTATTGTTTATAAAATCTGAACCAGTGTCTTTGCACGGGGTAGCTCTGAGGACATATCCTTGCATCAGTTGTCTGCAAATTTTGCAGCTTTTGTAAGGTTTTTTTCTCTTTTGAGAGAAAATTAAAATAGGAGGTAAATAGATTTTGTGGGTTGAATTTCATGAAGAAGCACTGAAAAAAGAAAAAAAGCTATAGAATTCTTGAGATGCATAGAAGAAGGGTGGAAACAGCAATGGTTTTTAAGAGCTCTGTAAAAAGATTTTAACATAACATGATATGTTAGAGGAGAGACTAGAAGATTCCAATCACATATTGGAAAAGTAATTTGTTGTGACGAAAGAGGCATATTATCTTTCCATCTGTAAATAAGACCCTTTTGCTCTGTTCTCTTGAGAAAAAGAATTGGTCTAAGTGAGGTTCTTCCAGCTTCTGTATTAACATCTATTTTGTCTGCTTGTTTATAGTTGTTATAGGAAGTCTCTGAAGTGCTATAGAAATAGAAAGATGCTCCTAAATGAGAGGAAACCTGTTGATAAAAATAGCAATTGTCAAAAAGAGTGATCTGTGGGGCTCTGCTGTAACCACTTGTGCAGGTGGAAATGTTTCTAGGAGTGTGAGGAAATAACCATGTGTCACAGCCACAGGAAATGCTGATTTATTTATTGGCTTGGTCAAAATAGCCTTTTGCAGATAGCTCTGAGCCAGAGACAGGTTTATGGAATGAGCCAGCAGGAAATTGTCTTCCTTTGAAGAAGGAACTCACATTTGTCTTCTAATAATAAATAGGAAGAGGTCCCTGCAGCCACAAAACTTGGAGAGATTCGTTTTATAGAAGATTAAGGCCAGGATATTTAAAGGGAACAAAAGAAGTTAAGCACTTTCAATCTTCAGGGTTTATTTTTGGAGGAAGGTAGTATGCTTTATTTTTCTCCAAAGGCAACCATGCCTAAAGTCTTTAGATCCTAAAGCCTTTGGAAACAATTTTCAGACATTGGCTTTTCTCATAATTGTGATTTACAAAAGCTCACACTGCTGTTACTCTTTTTCTCACACAATTATAAATTGCAGGAAATCTTTGTTTTTGAAGCAGAAGGCAAAAAAACTCTTAAAAAAAATGGTACTTCAGGTTTGTCCCATGGGAGTCTACAACAACAGATATTTTCCACAGTGCTTTTTTTCAGTGCTATGGGACCATATGGATGGTTACTAGGGGGATTGACTGTAACTCTGACCAAGACTGATGGAATTTTGTCAACTTCATCGTGGTGCTCACCAGTGCATTTAATCTGTTCCAGAGACTTACTGTAGCTATGTTGTAGACTAAACTCAGGAATTTCAGTGAAAGGTTTTGCAAGCATCTCACAGGTCGTGTAAATTGTCAATAATTTATTCATATCTCTTCTGCTCTGATGAGCAATCTAGAGTCTCAGAGTAACAAAGCAAAAAGTGAAATATATAAAATGTTAAGACATTTTTTTAACAGCAGAAGCTTCATCTGTGAAACAACGAGATAATTGACCCAAGTTTTACTAACTGTATTTGTGCTTTGTGGCACCCAGTTAGTTAGCACATTTGAATTTTTTTTTCCCACCAAAGGTTTATTCAGACCCCCTTTTTACTGTTCCTCTCTAGATAGAATCCTCTCCTTGCTACCTGTTGACAGTAAGGATCATCAGGATGAGAAATCTCCAGCGAGTGGATGCCTGTAAGTATCTCCATTCTTGGTGGTAACTCAGGAAACAGGCAAGTTAAATATTTTATAATTCTGTCACAACCTTTTCGTAGTGTTTCTTAGAGTTTTCTTAGTGCTTCTGAAATAACCCAGTGTTTATGTAAATTAATTGTTATAAACCAGGTCAGTTCTTGCTGCTTGCTTCTGTTTCATTGTTCTCCCTGTGCTTTCTGACTGGTTTCAAGACTTGAATTTGTTTCGGGGGAGAAGTATTTTCTGTCAAAGAAACGAGAGTTTCTGACAGAGGTAGATGAAAGACTCCATTCCATGTTTTTAAAAGCAAGGAGTAATTCTGCTGATGGGTTGTAGCACCTTGGGAAGCGTGGCTGGGAGGAGCAAACCTTTTCAGCATCCTCAATATTGGTTCTGACGAAGATGAACTGAACAGGAAAAAGCTTTTTACAATCATTACCACCAGGCTAATGCCATCATTAATTACCCTGAAAGGACAGTTAAAAAAACATGCTGAGGGCTGGATGCTTGCTCCTTTCTAAGGCTTCTGCAGCAGTCTTGCAGTTGTGCAAGAGTGTGTGTGAGTCACGTGGCAGGAAAGTGGTGGGAAGGGATCAAGTTGGAAAGGAAAACACCACTGTTTTGTAAAAGAACATTGACTATCCACATGTGTGCTAAGGAGAGGTGTTTCATACAAAATAGACAAGTTAACAGTTTGTTTTGTTTGAGTAAACAGAGCTACGTGACTACCTGTGAAAGGATGCTGAAATTAGTTTGAGTGAGCGCGGAAGGGAAATGATGTAACCCTCATGATTCTCTCGATTCTCCTGTTCTGCTGTGAGCAGCAGTGATTGGCTCTATAATGTCTTGCACATGAAGATTCAGGGAAGATTTTCTGAGAGACAAAGATCTGGATTTACCATGCGGTACCATTCCTGTCTTACCTTGTCCCGTGTATCAGAGCACTTCCCTGTGTCACAGCTCTATCCTAGCTCCTGTCACTGGGCTGCACCTCCCTCCTGCTCCGTGGCTGGGGCACATGTGTGGTGAGGCAAGAACACAGAAAGGTCTCATCAGGGACTCATCTCAGATCTTCTGCTTGTCAGGCAAATAATGAGGTTGTAGAAAGAGATTGTGCAAGCAGAACTGAGGCAACATTTTGCATTAAATACACAGCTGACTAGTTTGGCTGCATCTACTCGTATAATTAAGGATTGCTTGATATGTACTTTGTATCTCAAAGTACAGTTAAGATACAGGAATAATGAATCACATCAGCAGAATAAAGTACTTGCCAGCCAAACAACCATCTGTCATTGATCTCAAATGATAAAGCTAGTCATATGGTAGTCACAAAAAAATCACTTTTAATGCATGTTTAAATCAGTATCATTACTTCTAGATACTCCAAACATATTCAAATACATATTTTTAGAGTTCTGAAATTCTTCAAAGCATTATTGTCTGCATTAAATTTCCCAGATTAAAAAAAATAAATAAAAACACTCGAGGAAACAGAATAACAACTGAAACAACTTTTCTATCCAGAGGGACTGAATAGGCTACAGTCCTTAAGAGTGAAAGTGAAATTATTGAGGAGGACATGGAAGCTCTTGCTACAAAAAGGAAGAGGCAAAGAAGGTGAATAAGGAGTCATTTTTTACAAAGAGGCTAAGGAACAAGAGTGGTGGGAAGGTAGAATTAAAGCAGATTATGTGACTCTAGACAAGTACAGTGAAATTGCTGTCAGAATCTCATTTTTAAAGCCAAACTAAGATATAATATGTGTAATAGAGCAGGAGAGAGGACGAAGGCTAGGGCCTACTCAATATTTCCAAATTTTTTTTTTAACTCAGTAGGAATATGCTGATTTCTCCACGACCTTTTTAAGAAAAAAAGTGACAGAAATAAACTTTATTGTTGTTATTTCCACGTTATAATGTTGAAAAGTAGAAAACCAATAATTAAGGTGTCTATCGACCTATCACAATGCATATATCATTTTTCAAGCAGTTCTGGATTTTTTTTCCCTCTCACTTGGACAGAAAAGCAGCAAGGCTTCTTAAATACTTTCAACGGGATAAAATGCAGCCTCCAATCAGTTTGAGACAGTCAGTGGCTGTAGGGTGACATGGAGCAAAACCTGGTGGAGAAGGAAAGAAAGGAAGAAGAGAAAAGGTCCTGTTGCAGACAGGCAAGATTTTGCTTTTCTCCACAGGCCAGTGTACAAGCTCCTGTTCCCTGCTCTGCCTGCAGAGTCCTTACCTGCTGCTGAAGGATCACCTCCATTTACTGCTGCCATCACTTCCCTCTCTCAAAAGTCTCACATCACAAGACATCCGTTCTCAAAGCTAGTTACTTTTTGCATTACATAAAAGCTGATCATTTCATTGTTGAGAACTGCATCAGAGAGGTTTTCAAGGTGCTGTAGTACCTTGCATAACCTCCAAAAAGAAACACAGTAAGTGGTATTTTTGTCTGTAGCAGTTTGAGATATACCCTAATTTAGGTGCCTGTGAGAAAGGGGATGTAAAATCCTTCACTAGCTTTCTCCTGATGCCTTTTGGGAGAGAGACTTTGTCCCTCTCTTCCTGCAGATGGCAATTAGTTAAATTCCGTTGTCTAATTCAGTGTGCTCCTTCTGGAGGAAGCCTCTGCCATCTCATACAGCAGGTGTAGCTCTGCAGCTCCTTTCACAAACCCTCACAAAGATCACTGAGGACAAGGCAGAGGTGAAGGCCTTTTGCAGTTGTTCTCAAAAAGTGGAGGAGGGTCCCAGGCTCCCCAACCAGACAGCAGCTCAGGGTCAGTGTGTGTTTTTTTAAATACACAATATCACTGTTGTCTCTAACTCATGCAAGGAAGAACAGAAACCACCTTCTCTTCTAGGTCATCTTGTGGTCCATGCTTTTCCCCTCTCAGAAGGGAATCTTGAAAAGTTACATTACATCAGACTTTTCTACCTTTAAGTTACTTACACTTATTTTTGGTACCAGTTGCTGCAGTAACCTTTCCAATGTCCTGCAGCACTGTTGCCTTGGCCACATTAGCAATTGTTTTGCCTCTCCCCTCCCCAGTAAGCCAGGCTGATTGCTACGTGTCCCTGTGGCTGCCGACTTCGACATGTGAAAGGTCACGCACTAAAACTGTGAGAAACTCTGACAATCCAGTGTGGAACGAAACCTTCTACTTCAGAATCCAGAGTCAGGTCAAGGTAAGCAGCCAAAGTTGTCTGCTTGAAGCAGCCTGAAGATTTCGTCTATGTGTCTCCTGAACTGTGCCCAGGAGTTGTTTAGGAGGTGGCACAGGCTAAAGGGCTGCTCAAAGCATTTACCAGCAGAGATGACCGAGTTCCTGTGTCTGTTCTATGGTGCTATGTAGGACTGCCAGAAAGCGAGCTCAGTTTTGAAGTTTTAGGGAAATGAGAGACTCTTATGAGTCAGTGCAAGATGGATACAAAATCTGGGAGTTACCCAAGCTATGTAGGTATAGCCAACATATTTTTTACAGCAACTAAAATGAACTAGGGTAGAATTAATATGCAGTTCAAGTATGTTTTTCTGAAAGGGGATGATATTTAATTTCTAAACTTTTCTTCTCAAGCACATCCTCAGCAATACTTTTTGCCTGGAGCTAATGATGTCCAGCCTGAGAAACTATAACAAATTCTTCTCCCTCTTTTTCCAGAACGTGCTGGAGCTCACAGTGTATGATGAGGATTTTGCTACTCCAGATGACCATCTCCTCTGTGCACTCTTTGATACTGCTAAACTTCCACTTGATAAAACAGTGATTCTGTACTTCAAGCCTGCCCCAAATGTGAGAGCAACTAGGCAACTAAAGCAACTAAGAAAACAGTGGAGAGTTACAGAACAATTTCAAAATCTTTCTGAACCTGCCATGGATTACTTAGCCAAATAATGAGTACATGAATTGTCATTCAAATTATAAGCACAAAAATGTGATGAAAAAAACCAAACTCTGAGAGTCTGAACTCCTCTTTGCAATATTTTATAAATTATTAAAGACCATAGGACTGAAACAGTGCAGTAGGTAGAAGAGGGATCTAATTGTGAGCTACCTCTGAGCAACACCAAGGCCATACAGCTTTTGCAGGGTGAATAATCTGTACACTTTTTTTGCCATGTAATTGATAATCTGAGGAATTCCCGTAACTCATAACCCTCTGCCCCTTTGCTTACGTCTACTTTCACCCCAGAAGACAAATATGAAGTTGCCCCTGTGTGTATCCCACTATGAATGGATGATGATTCCCTCTGTTTCGCAGTTTCCCATCTGTAAAATGGGAAGAATAATCTTGATTCCCGTTGAGATCTGAGGACGAGATCAGCAGAATATCTCACATGCAACTTCTTGCTATCAGGGACAGATTCTGGTATCCAAACTAGGTCATTCACAACCAGCTTGTACAGATCAACATTGCCTTACTCGAGCTTGCATAACACGAATTCTGAATCATTCACTTATACTGCTCTCTGTTTATTACAGTAAAGTAATGGGTGTAAAGTATATTTAATTTCCAAGATAATAGCCAGTAATATGGCAGGACAGTGCCAGGAATAGTTGGAAGAAAAGGGTGGAATTCAGAAAATAAAGGAACTTGCAAATTCTTTCTGCAGCAGCTTCAGACTAAGAAATAGAAGTATAGGTTGATTTGATTATATCATGAAGTCAGAAGGAGATGAGGAAAGAATCATTTAATCATCTGGCTGAAATGTTGATTCAGACCACCCAGTCTGAAGTATTTATCACAGGCTACTCATTGCAACCAGTAACTTCACTATTGCCTGTCAGTGACTTGGGTTTAGACTAGGGACAAAGCATTACGTAGCTACTTCATTTAATGTCTTGTTCTTTCTTGCAGGCCAAGGAGGAACTAGAGGTTGAATTCAAATTGGAGGTTGCGTAAGTGATGCAGAGATTATTTTAAAAATGCAAAAATCATTGATGATAACAAAACCCCAGTATTAGAAGTCATACTTTGGGTACTTCTGTAAAAAACGGTGCTAGCCTTCTCCTATATTATTGCTGCAGTCCCCAACAGCTGACTGATTAGCTTGTTCTGTAGCTTAGCTGCTCTCACTGATGCACCTACCAGTTACCCAGAGAACTGTGTGGATGCCCCATCCCTGGAGCTGTTCAAGGTCCTGCTGGGCAGAACTTTGAGCAGCCTGGTCTGGTGGAAGGTGGCCCTGCCTATGGCAGGGGATTGGAACTAGATGACCTTTAAGATCCCTTCCAACCCAAACTATTCTATGATTTATCTACCTGGGGACATTTCAGAAAGCTTTCTGAGTGTGTGAGCATTCCTGCCTATCAATTTTTCCCTGCCTGTTTCAGGCTATGTATTGGACACTGTTTTAGTGTTGAAACATACTAGTCAGGTTTTCAGTGTATCTCCAGTTCCTTCAGATTTCCCTTGCAGTACTCTTTGAATCCTAGTAATTGTGCTTTCTTTCTGCCTAACACAATCACAATGGGATGGGAACTCTTGTAAGGATGTAAGGCTCCTTTTCCAGCATGGTCAGCCTGCCACCCATGAATCACCATTTTTATCTCTGTATTGCCACAGGATAACTGAGGCATGGCAGAAATAAAGTGGCTAGTCTAAGGCCAACGTTCGTACTAGTGGGGAGCCAAGGCTCCACACCATCTCCTGACTTCACCTAAAAGATCTGGAAAGCTTTTGGGTTTTTTTCCCGTGTAATTGGTACTGGCTGCCCTGTACCACTTTGAAACAGACATCCCAGGGCAGTGGTCACAGCACCAAGCCTGCCAGAGTTCAGGAAGCGTTTGGACAGTGCTCTTGGGCACATGGTGTGACTCTTGGGGTTGTCCTGTGCAGAGCCAGGAGTTGAACTTGGTGATCCTCATGGAACCCTTGCAACTCAGAATATTTGCTTGCCAGCAAATACATATAACTGTCTTCCCAACAAGGACATGCTGGTGTATCAACTGAAATATATTTATTTCACATGTTACAGTGAAATATGTGTTACAGAATTTGACTGCTTAACAGGAGATTCCATTTTAGATGATCATTTGGATTGCATTGTAAAAAAATAACGATGATACACATTGCTCAGCTTTGGTACAGAGATGAGTGACCTCAGAGCAGTGCTCAGTCCATGCAAGCAAGGAAAGGAGCTTGTTACATACTCGCTGGGATCCCTCAGACTTTTGGTTTTTTAAGTGGGAAGAAAGGGCAGCATCCTGGGTAAAGAAGAGTGGAATTTGTTTAACTTAAAAATATCCATGTTTTTCATTTTGTTTCCCAGCCCTGGTCCTCATGAAATGATTGCTAGCAATGGAGTGCTGGTGGTATGTATCTTCCCCAAAATATTTTCTTTAAGTGACTCCTAAACGTAAAAGGAAGGGGAGGGTGGGTTAAAGAAACTAGTAGGCCAGTTCTTTCTCTTTCTTTCCTCTTTCCTATTTAGATACATTCAGAATGGGATATTTTATTTACCTGTTCATTGGAGATATCCCATTTGTCCTATACTTCCCTATTTCTGGTTTTCCTATACTTCACCACACACACACACACACACACACAGGCACAGAATTTTTCTCTGATACTAGTACTCCAAAAAATGTACTGCTGTCTATCAGAACACAACGATAAAAAGGCTGTGAAGTCACTTACTGATAATCTACCCAGCCTTTTCCTTCCCTTGGAGATGAGCCATGCTCTTGGGTAAATTCTGCATGAAATAGTGACTTATCAAAAATACATTATGTTGAAGAAGAGTGAGCATCATAAAAAAAATCAACTCCCAAAATGCTAATAGCAGTGCTTGTTCAGAAAACCCTTCCTACTGCTGAGTCTTGATCTCTCAGTGAAATATCCTTATTTAACCCTTTGTATTTACACTACTATCATGAAAATGGTCCTGATTTTCTTCCTTTGTATATTCCTTTCACTGTGCTCAATCTTAAGTCATTGTCACGCATGCGATTCCTACAACTCCCTCCAAAGCTTTTCCTTTTCTTTAGCTAATGGGAAAAAATGATGCCAGGGAATTCAGAACTCTAAGTTATTCCAAGCTGAGAGGTCCACAGCTCCCTAGAATGTGGATGAGATGTGCTGATCTTTCTCACAAAATCCTGCAATCTGTCTTTCACAGTGTCGTGAACTTTGCTGCTTGGAAGTTGAAGTGGCAGAGAAGACAAAACAAAAAACAAGTAAGGTTATTGCTTTGTTATCTATTTACCAGTAGTTGCATGCTTACTTATGAGAAAATACCCTTTCATATAATGTGTTAATGAAATAAATAGTGCTTACAGTATTCAGTGAAATTAATGTCAGGTAAATACATTAGATTGCTGTAGGCTCCAATGACCTCATCTAGATATATCTTAGTAAGGCCTATTAAATGCACAATAAAGTTGAAGTCCAAGTTCACAGCAGGAATATTCAGAGTCCCCTTTCTATCAGAAGTGCATCCACTTCGTTCCTTTCCCTTTAGTGCCAGCACTTTGTGCTGGGCAAAACCGTGCAAACCTGCACCCCACTTTTAATCAAGCGAGCACATTTTTCTGGTTAATGATATTAACGTTTGTCACGATCTTTGTTTTGCTACTTTAGAGAAAGAGCTTTCCCTCACTGTGAAGGGCTCCTTTGAGGGGACACAGGACATCGTGCTGGGCCCCAATGGAATGGTCAGCCCGTCGTGTCCCACCGAGTTCCACTACATCAAGTACGCGGAGCCAACGCTGGATGTCATGCTGCCAAAGAAGAGGCGCTACCACCCTGTATGTTGGAGTGATGGAGGGATTTTGAGTGGCTCTCAAGAAAGAGGGAGGAAGGAGAGAGGGTAAAGCCGTTGCTGGTTTTGTCCTAAAGCATGTTGTTTTGCCAGTGGTCCTGTAGGTACAGTACAGAGACGGGCTCCCCAGTCGTGATGCTGAACTCGCTGCCCATGGGAAGGAAAACGACCATTGCAGAGGTAAGCATCACTTCCAGGTGTTGGTAAAGGGTCACTCAGGTAGAAACCATTCCTCATAATGCTGTCCCAGGTGGTCACTAAGAGTGTCAGAAATGTTCAGATTTTCTATTAGACTTTGAGAAAACAGGAGCTTTGTTTCTCCAGATGTTTTCTCCACAGAGGCAGGTTGTCCCTGTATTAATCTCCACTACGTGCCAGTAATGGGGACAGAGACCTACAAGCATGTAAGAAAATATTTTACTTCCTTCAGAATATCTCTCCTTGCTTACCCAAAGACTCACTACTAACTCCCCCTTCCCTTAGGGTCCAAACTGAAAGTTGTTCCTTGGGCACAAAATAGGAAAACATCAATAAACCAGTCCTTGGTCAAATTAAAGAGGACAGTATATTGAAATATGCTGAAAATATTAGTCATAAAGTATATATTTTAAATACTATAATGAGAATATTGATTTAGAAGAACCATTAAGACATCCTCTCAGAACAAAGCACTTTGTGTTACTTAATATGAAGATTGAAATAATGATTTTTAAGAGAGGATAAAGTGTGGGCAGAAGCAAATGCAGAAATGCAGACTTTGCAGTCTCTTCACTGTGAGACTATGGCCAGGATATCAAAGATATGCTGTGTACCAGAGCATAAAGAATGGAAAACACAAAAAATGATAATTCAGGATGCTGCAGAAAGCTTATGAGTAGTACAGGAAATAGGACCTACTGCCTGAGTCTCAGAAACCTCTTTTACCAGGTTGCTTAATGGTTTCTGCAGCCTGGATGTTCCACTAATGGTAAGTTAATGCTTTTGGAAATATATGCCAAGATCTCAGACAATTAAGGTTATGATTCCCAGACCTTGCTGGGGTATAAATCAAGCTCTGACCCAAAGACAGAAAGGGAAAATAGAAAATCTAAAATTAAAAATTATACATTCTTGTTTTCCAGGAGAAAAGATTTGACTTGAATGTGACCGCCAAAACTTGGTAAGAGATTTTCTTCTTTCCTTAAGACTTGGTTCATTGATTTTGATATTGTTTTAGCCATATGGAAAGGACACAAGTAAGCATTCTCAGTCTGAAACTACAATGTGCTTATAATAAAACATAAAATACATGCACAATATATTATACATAATTAACCTTAGGAAGATTTGCATTTAATCAGTTGATAAAACATTAAAATAAACATGTGTTTATTTCAGCGTTATCCCTTTCCTTCTGACCACAGAATATTTTCTTTGGTCAATGTCAGTCTCTGAAATTCACAAAAAGAACAAAGCTAGCTGACAGCAACAAAAAGAACAGTCAGATGTAGACATTTAATTTAATCAGGAGTTAAGAATTATTTTTTGCTTTGCTGTCAATATTCAGTGGTGATGAACCTCGTAGTCTGTTAAGTCCAGTTATCCTATATATTAAGTAGAAACTAAGGTAAACAAGTTAACTTGTGGTTTGACATCTGTAGATGTGCTCATTAATACTCATCAGTAAATATGGAGATGCTTCAGGTTATCCATAGCTGTACAGAACACATAGAACTGGGCAAACTGGTATTTTATGTGTGTGTCTGACTAAGAAATATAAGGAAAAAATTATTTTTTAATTCAAGCAGAGTTTTCTATTATTCATTTCAAAACAGTAAGAGGTCAATGATAACACAAAAATCAGTGTTATTCCACAACAGGAGAAAAACCTCCTGCTTATTTTACATTCAGAGAACTATGGAAACAGTTTGTTTGGAGTTTGATTTACAATAGAAACTGGCTTTTGCAGCCCCACCTAACTTAATTCCCAATGTGTATCTTCATTTACAAAAAAGGTTTTATCCAAATCTGGTGGTGGAGAAAGCTCATAATAACTTTTCTTTACTAGTTTCAAAGAAATTATGGACCCAGTAGAAGAGAGAGGTTCTGTTACTGGAAGAAAAATCAAATCCCTGGCGTTTGACAATGCCTGGCCAGGTAGCTCTGACCTGACCATGACCATCTCTTGCCTCTGATGTCTTGTAGGAGCAGAGCAGGAAGAGCCAGGAGGGAGATTAGTGAGCAGAAGAGCACAAATGCCCAGGGAAATACAATTGTGGGGCCTTAAAGAATGATTTATTCAGTTTCCAAATAGACACCAGTGAAATCTTCCTCTGGGAGATGATGTGCCTTACACTTTTTGAGTCAAGGTTGATGTGGAGCAGACCTTCCAGCTCTGGCCCCTGGAGCAGCCTGTGCAGGTGTAGAGCTGGCAGAGCAGCAGGGTGGGACTCCTGCCCATCTCTGCTGATCTCTGCCCATCTCTGCCCATCTCTGCCCATCTCTGCCCATCTCTGCTGATCTCTGCTGATCTCTGTCCATCTCTGCCCATCTCTGCCCATCTCTGCCCATCTCTGCTGATCTCTGCTGATCTCTGCCCATCTCTGCCCATCTCTGTCCGTCTCTGCCCATCTCTGCCCATCTCTGCCCGTCTCTGTCCGTCTCTGTCCGTCTCTGCCCATCTCTGCCCATCTCTGCCCATCTCTGCCCATCTCTGTCCATCTCTGCCCGTCTCTGTCCATCTCTGCTCATCTCTGCTCATCTCTGTCCATCTCTGCTGATCTCTGCCCATCTCTGCCCATCTCTGCCCATCTCTGTCCATCTCTGTCCGTCTCTGCCCATCTCTGCCCATCTCTGCCCATCTCTGTCCATCTCTGTCCATCTCTGTCCATCTCTGCTCATCTCTGCTCATCTCTGTCCATCTCTGCTGATCTCTGCCCATCTCTGCCCATCTCTGCCCGTCTCTGTCCGTCTCTGCCCATCTCTGCCCATCTCTGCTCATCTCTGCTCATCTCTGTCCGTCTCTGTCCGTCTCTGTCCGTCTCTGCCCGTCTCTGCCGGTCTCTGCCCATCTCTGTCCGTCTCTGCCCGTCTCTGCCGGTCTCTGCCCATCTCTGTCCGTCTCTGCCCGTCTCTGTCGGTCTCTGCCCATCTCTGCCCATCTCTGCAGCAGGCTGGCTCCCTCAGCCACCCTCCCCCGCCGTGCTCACCGCTAGAGGGGGACGCCTTCCCTCTCCAGCTGCTCAAAAGGAAGATTTTCATTCTCGTTGAAAATGCCAGCCTTTGAAAATTGGGTGTTATTTTAGATTTCGAATGAGAAAATAACGTGTGAAATGGGAATTGATACTTTCGCTTTTGACCATTTGCATGGATTTTCTAAACTTGTCAGTCTTTCAGCTGTAGAATATTTATGTAAATATTTTTTTATTTGTAAATACTACGTAGTTTCTTCCAATTAGCAATAACCGGGCATAATACCACTAGTTAGTCTTAGTAATTGACGTAGGTTTCTAACTTTTAAAAATAGTAGAATTGTTCTCTCTAGCTCTTGTCAAGTTGCATCATCCTGTTTGAAGAGAAGGATGCTGTAGATTATCTTCGATCAACATCCTAAAATTGATATGGGTGTGTTAATACTTAATATACATATCTGTTTTTATCTCAGTAATTGTTCATGCCACCAAGACCTGGACATGCGCTTTGGGTTTAACTTATGTTCTGAAGAGATGGCTTTCCTGGAGAAAAGAAAGAAATATGTAGCAAGTGCTCTCAAAAACGTTTTTCATCTACCACACGATCTGCAGGATCAAGAAGTACGTGTGTGCTGAGGGGATGGAACTTGAACCTCTCGTGCTTTCATGTAAATAAGTGGTCAGCAAAACAGGCCACACGTATCTGTTGTGCAGGTACCAGCTGGTCCATGCGTGTTAAGTGCATTTGCTTCTGCTGCCAAGGTTTATTACTGAAAACACTAGTTGCAGTCACCATCCTTCATTACTATCAATTTGGAATTTTTCATAGTTGAGGTGTGTTCATTCCTGCTGTGCTAAGCTATAACTGGCTTGGTACAGAAATACTGAATACATTACACAGAAAATATTTTTTTCCCCTTATTCCAATTTCACTACTTTGTGAGAGTTTAGGACAGACATCTTTGAGTGCTTCTTATATCTTCTGTTTCTTGTGGGTTTGAAATTCCTTAAAATAAATATAATCTATATTAAAATAACTTCAAGATACTGAAGAATAACTGCATTGCTGAGGGTAGCTTAACAACAGTGGCTGTGAACTGAGTGTATTTCTTCATGGGATTGGCATGCAGATTTTCATACAGAAGTAGTCAATGTGTGAAATAAGAAGAGTAGTGGAGTGAGAGATGCATAGAAAATACATTGTTGCTTCCGTAGAAGGAAGTGTTCAGAAGTTCACAGAAGTTCATCTGTGCTTGTATTTGCCCTAGAGATGAGCAGGAACCCAAGTTTGGGTAAATTTCTGAACCCAGGTTTATCCAAAGGGAAATAAGTGGCAGTACCATTTGTTGCTTGGTTTTGGAATCTTTCCTTCTAAAAGGGACCTGGGCTCTGAGGGCAGGACGTGGGCTGGCTGTGGTGAGCAGTCCCCACTGCAGTGTGGGATGCAATGCTGAATGCTGTCAGTGGCCCTGTCCCATCCTCCCTGTGCCCAACAGGTCCCCGTGGTGGCCATCATCACCACAGGTGGAGGGCTGAAGTCGATGACAGGATTGTACGGCAGCCTCATGGGACTCAAGAAGTTAAATCTCCTGGACTGTGTGACATACATCAGCGGGCTGTCCGGCACCACATGGTAAGCCAGCTCGAGCACAGAGCCTGGCCAGGCCTTTTGAGGGTCACACTGCAGCAGAGAGTAGCTTCTAAAAGCAGACAAGATCAGGAGATTTTCTTCAAACATCATAGAAACAAGTTTCTCAGTAACCGGCCATTAAATATTAGCTTGATTTGGTGCACACTTTTTGTATAAGCAGTTCTTTACTATGCTCATCAACTCCGTGTTTAGCAGTTAAATGTGCATGTGACAATTACGCTCACCAAGATGCTTTCTAGGTAAGTAGTTACTGTGGATGTAATTGTGGATATCCATAGCATCATGCCTCTTCCTTTCTCCACTGAATCCCAGCTATTGTGGTCCCATCAGCTTCTGAGACTGGGTCTGATTTCTGTCTGGGAAAAACTGCTGGACACTGCACATTTACCCCTGCAACCTGTCAGTTCTGTGTTTCTGTGTAATTCCCTGCTCACAGGTCCTACGGCTGCATGATGTCTGATTGTCCCATGCAGAGGAAGTTGGTAAAACAGAGGATGATGTTAAAATAAAGCAGTGTGATATCATAAGATTAGCTTGAATTAATCAAGCCAAGAGACAGCTGCTAATATGAATGAGTTTAAGGTTCTGAAAAACAAGCAAAGAAAATTTATTATCATTTTCTGCCTAATTTGTGCTTCACAAATATACCTATGTTCATACCTGGCAGTTTTATCCCTTAAGCTTCTGCCAGTTCTGCTTAAAAGAAAGGGTTAAGAACATAAAATCCCCATGTCATTCTTCAGGGCCATTTTTAAAAACAGTCATAGAAACTCTGGAGTGTTCATTCTAATGGATGGAGCAGCTAAACCAGAGTACGAGTGAGCAGAAGCGAATCCCTAAATGTAAACCTCTGTTCTGTAGGCACAAAATTTCCAGTCTTTTTTTGCTCCTTTTGACTTTTGCTGTCTGTATTGTCTTCCTCCAGGACCATGGCCAACTTATACAGAGATGCCTACTGGTCACAGAAGGACCTGGACTCACATATTGGTGAAGCCCAAAAACAAGCAACAAAATGCAAGATGGGCTGTTTCTCTATGGATCGCATGAAGTACTACAACAAGCAGCTGTGCCAGAGGAAAGAAGAGGGATACAGGACATCATTTATAGATCTTTGGGGTCTCATGATTGAGTACTTACTAAACGATGGGGTATGATGTATATTCCATTTCTTAAAGAACCATGTGCTTTTCCCTTAATGGATGGAAACTAGTCCATCATTTCAGAGAATGTACCTCAAAGCAGAGGGGAATTCTCTGTGTTAACAAAATAGCAGATTTTAAAAACTCCTTTAATAGTTTGCCTAGAAAGAAATGCATCCTGTATACTAATAAATTCAGTTGTGGATGCAGCCATTTAAACTCTGGCTGGTATTTAAATGGAATTGAAGGCAGTCTTGGGAAGTGCATCTGAGATGCAAATTACTCATGCAAAAAGAGTTCAAAATGCAAAGCAGAGTAATCTCAACTATGCGAAAACTATCTCAAGCAATCCAGAAACAGCTAGAATGTTCAGTGAATTGCATCCACTGGCAGGTGACTTGATATGCAAATACACTGGAGGCAGGTACATATTTTGCTTTTCCTCAGAAGCACTACTCACATGGTTTAAGTGATACTTTTGTAAAATTCCAAATTTGCTTTTCTGTTACTTGAAGGGGTTTCTACCCCTATAGTACAGCAGTCCACTTCCTTTTCTCCCCCTCTGGATCACAGTTCCACGATGTGTGCTTTGGCACTTGGGAAGGGTGAGTGGTTGAGGGTTGAGCAGAAGTGTCCTCCAATGGGGGCAGAAATGCTACAGTCATTCAACCATTCATTTGGGTTTATTTTTATGTAAGTACATGTATAGCATTATGTCTATGTAAACAGAACATAAATGCATAGAGAGGAATACTAGGTATTAAACAAAGCTGTGAGCTAAATAGATGCCTCTCTTAATCTCAGCTAGATGGGGGCCCCTTCACAATTTAACCAAGCTTTTTTTCCATTGAGCAGTGATGACTATTTCTATGTAGCCATTAGTCTCTCCCTAATCTTCCAGAACAAGCTACTCTTACATTTTTCAGCAGTTCATGATATTTTATGTTTTTTATAAACCTCTTCAATGAGAATATGCTTTTTCAGAAAAGGAGCCGGGTGGGGTGCAGATAATTTGCTGCCAGATTAACTTGCTGCCCAAGGCTAGGCTGTGATAGCTTTTGTTCAGTAGGAAAGGAAATTAAATATCAACATATTCAAGGGCTTCCTTCAGATTCAGGAGAACAATGATGCTCACTACAGCCCTCAGCCTAAGGAGCAACCCACCTCTGCTGCTACTTGTCAGAACAATACTTCCTAGGACGTATAGATGTGTGCAGAAATGTTGTTTCCCTCCTCATCTCTTTGTGATCCATGCACGAAGCCAGGCTGGAGGCTGGCAGCCCGGTCTGTGGTGATTGGAGGGGGTACCTGTGGTGGGGCTGCCAAGGTGTGTGCTGTGTGCTGGGGTGGAGCCGCCCGCTCCTCCCGCACCGGGGCCAGTGAACTCACCGGGCATCGTTTCCATCTCCTCTCACATAACACTTTTTCTCCAAAACCAGAAAGACCCCCACAAGCTTTCAGAGCAGCAAGAAGCACTGTGTGATGGCCAGAACCCACTGCCCATCTACGTGTCAGTGTGTGTCCGGGACAGTTACAGCACCAATGATTTCAAAGGTAAGGATGTTGTTTGGGATCCTCTGAGGCTAAAATTGGCAGCTGAATTCCTGTCATCACTCTTCCCTTCTTGGTAGCACTTGGAGAAAACAATCCTTATGTGTTAATTGCTTTTTGGAGAAATAACCATCACCTCCGTGCCTTACAATTTTAATGCAAGGTTTTTTTGGGAGCAGCATTTCGCTGTCTAGACATACACTGTAGAAATTCTGCCAGAAAGGCCATTTTGAGAAATATTGAAATTATCCAATAATTGCTTTTTCTCAATGGCCAGTTATTGTTTCAATATGAAGAATGACCATGTAGTTATGCTAGAGTGTGGAAAGGCTCCTAACTGAATCCATTGTTTTTCTCATTGTTTTGTTTGTTTGTGTTTCTTTCCTATTGAGAATCAGAAGGAGAAGGGGAAGAGAAAAATTGGGATCAAATTTTTTATTGTTGAGGCAAGAAAATGAACCATTTCCAAATGAAAACAAAATTATGGTCCATGACAATTCTGTCCCAGTTTTCACTCATGCTACACTTCACTCGGAGAGGATATCCAAGAAAGCCAAGAACTAGTTCTGTCTCCATTAGTACTGCACATAGAGAGTATAATTAGTCCCTTACAAAAAAAAGTAGTTTCTGAAGAGCTGAGTACCCATCTTTGTACATAAACAATTATTTAGGGAAGATAAATTAACTCTATAGGTGAAGTACTGTCACCGGGACGTGGCTTATGGAAGGGCAGAGCAAAACTACACACATGCTGGAAACCCCTGGGCTGGTGTGTGCACATGGGGTGCACAAGGCCTGGAGCCTTGCCATGCCCCCAGTGTGCCACTTGTGCCACCAGCAGCCCCACCATGACCAGCACAACTGCTCCTGCCTTCCCACTGCCACCACGCCCAGGCTCAGACACATCCCAGAGATCTGCGTTGAAGAGCCAGGCTTTGCAAAGGCAGCATATTCAACATAGCTCACACCAGCTTGTGCCCAGTTGTGTGGGAGCCCTCTAAGTGTCCCGTTGTGTTGCAGAGTGGGTGGAGTTCACCCCCTACGAGGTGGGACTGCTGAAGTACGGCGTGTTCGTGCGCACGGAGCATTTCGGAAGCGAGTTCTTCATGGGCCGCCTGCTAAAAAAGCTCCCCGAATCCCGCATCTGCTACCTGCAAGGTGATGTATAGCCTTGTCCTGGCACAGAGGCACTTGGGAGGGGTGTGATGCTGTTAACCTGTGAGTAGATGGTTCTGTCCTAACATACTGAACGCTGCTGCAGGGAAATGGGAGTGGTAGTTTGTCCAAAAGAATACAGTAAAAAAAAATGCATATTTTTTCAGTTTCTTGTCACTGTCTTGGTAGACGTGTTGTCTGTGTCTTAGAGATGGAATAGATGAAGATCTTAAATTATTTCGTTGTAAGTAATGGCTCCCACTTCTTTGGTTATTCTTCTGATTCCTCTCTGAATGCACTCCAACCTAAGTCCAATTGTGATAGTCAAATTTACAATGACTGGTGATATGGTGGTGCAGTGTTTTGTCAACAAAGACACCAGTGCCCCTGTGATGAGGCAGAGAAGGTAATCCTGGATGGAGAAAAGAGTGCACAGTGGAGCTGGAGCCCACTGCATGTGTGAGCCTTCACAAGCTGTGGTGTGAGATCTTGTCTTACAAACAAACATCTGAAAAGCCAGTTCATCCCCTTGTGAAATAATTCAGGCTGTTTGAAAGAGTTACTCATCAGAGTAAGTGCAGAAAAAAGACAAGCTGGGGGCGGAAATGACGTGTTTGTGGTGTATACACTATCTGAATTCTTTATTTTGCCTCTTGAGCAAGTGTGACTTTTTTTCCTTTACTTGCCTCACATTCTTTGCTCTCTTTACCAGGTGGCAGAGCCATGTAGTAGGTTAGGCACAAAGTTGATGGTAACACGACCTGAATCGATGACATAGAAAGAGGAATTTAACAGCACGGAAGTTTAGAAATATTTGCCTTAAGCCCATTAAAAACTTAAGCCAGGAGGTCAAAATAGAAGGAAAAGGGCATTTTCTTGTTCAAATGTGTCCTTGTGTTCACTAATTCCTTTTACAGGTATGTGGAGCAGTATATTTTCTGTGAACCTTTTACAAATATGGGGACTGTCCCACAGTTCAGAGGACTTCTGGAAGAGATGGACACAAGACAGAATAGATGAAGTTGGTGAGAGATTATTAAGCCTTTAATTTACGGTCATTTATTATTTTCCTGTGTGGCTTTTGGCATCATCTTGTCAACTTTGCTGAAGCTGGCATCATAGGATCTTACTAAGAGATAGTGACTTCCCCTCACACTGTATAGAGTAAGTGGAAGAGGATAATCAGGGAAAAGCTGCTGTAATTACAGCATTTACTAAAGCTCTACTGATTATTTCAGAGGAAGTTTTAGAGGGGTCAGACATTTCTGAGGAAGTGTTCTGGCGTTACAATTCTCACTTAGGCACACAGAACCAAGAACCAAAAGCAGAGAATATGGTACTTTTTACTGCCCATGCAGAGAATAAACCTTAATACCAACTAGTTAATCAATATTTCCTGGGTTTTTATTTTATTACTCAGTACAGTAATTACTGCATTGGATTCATACTGACACGAAGATAAATGAGGCCCAGAGGGTATTTTCTGAAGCAATACAGAAACCATGATTTTATTGCTAAATCACTTCATATGATAGTAACTATAATTACAGACATCCTGAAAAATACAGAAATACGATGTGCAATCATGGAAACCACCACGTCTCTCCTGCTGCACTGTCGGCCTCTTGGGCTTGCAAAGCAGGTTGTCATTTCTAGAAACTACACCTTGTGTCATATTTCTGCTTTTCACCTATATGCCATCTACCCACCCCCTAAACTAGCCATAGTTTCTGAATATGAATGGATGCCCCAGGTTTTGCTGGGCTGCTCTCACTCTGCTGGTTAAGCAGATGCTGATGAACCCATGAGTGATTATTGGTAGCAGCTGTCACTGTTGCAATAGACCCCGTGGTTGTAGTTGTTTGCCCATCTGACTGAGCAGTGGTGTATTCATCAGCCTCATCTTCTCCATGCTTGAGTCTGTTTCATGTTATCTTCCTGCGAGGATATTTAACTTCTGACAGAACATTTTCTGAATTGCTTAATTTCCTTAAGGTGTCGTTTTCCCAAGACTAAATATTGCTTCTGATGAACTGTCTTCAGACCAAAGCTTAAGGCCTTTGTCCAGCAGCCATTCCTTTCCCTCAGGAGAGTTTGTATGTTTTTAGTGAATCATCCCAGAGGAGCCCTGAGAACTCCTTTGCACCAGGATGTGGAGAGGCTTACAGCTGGTCTGTGAGCCAGAGAGGGTCAATGGACAAGGTTTTATTTCTGAAAGGTGTTCTATCAAGGCTGTTGGCCTGGAGACTGAGGAGAGAAGAAGGAGAAGATAGACGGGAAAGAAAATCTGCAGCTGGGAAAGGCATTTTTAGAAAAGTCTTGTGAGAAATAGACGTGGAGATGTTTTACACCAGTAGACGTTATGTTGATCTGTTGTAACCGATGAACAAAGTGTAAACTTTGTAGAGGGCATAACAGACAGCAGGTTGTAATAAGGGGGATATTAGCTTTCCGCAGTGGAGCGTGTCTATTTTTATGTCGCGCCCGCCCCTCCAGCGACACCAGGGCGGCCAGAAAGGAGCAGAAGTTAACCAGCAGCCCTTTCACCAGCTTCTCTGCCCTCCCCTAGACGAAGACCCGGTGCTGCCCACGAGGCCCCACGAGCTGAGGACCCGCATGTACACCCCGCCCGGGCCCCTGTCCAGCGCCCTGCGGGGAGCGCTGACCGACCGCTTCTCCGTCGCCCAGCACCACAACTTCCTGAAGGGATACCAGCTGCACAACAAATACATGGAGAACCAGCACTTCTGCCGCTGGAAAGGTGCTGCTGGCCGCTAATGTGTTCAACCGGCATCGTTTTCAGGGGGGGTTTGGGGTGGGGGATTTAGGAAAGAAGCCTGTCTGGTTTGGCAGGAGATAAAAATCCTCCCGAGGGAACGTTTATTTTCTGAATAGTGAGAAGACACTGAGGCTTCGGTGTTGCCAGGTATTGAAGACTTAATATTTGTATTCGTTTGCTTCAGCTGAGACCTCTGCAGTCCAGACTGACAGGGTAGACTTGAAGCTAACAGAACCAAATTTAAAGTGGCAGAGAGCAGAGCGAACATGGGAGAAAGCTTAATGTGGCAAGATTATGCCTCTAACTCCAGGTGCAACTGAAATATCCAAGAAAATATCACCTAAAAGAGAAAACTGGAAAGGAATAGGGCTTTCTAGTCCAAAGAAGAGGGGACTGAGTGGGAAACGCAAGTCCAAATGTATAAAGGACTGAATTTTTTTTTTTCTCCAAATCAATGACAGATAGAAGATGAAACAATGACTGAAATGAAGCAAGGCAGATTTAGGTTAATTATTAGATGTAGCTTACTGGCACTAGTAAGTGTGACATGTTAATGCAATATATTACCTGGAAACTCAACACAGATTTTTCAGAATGGGAACTTAGGTATTTTACAGTCCTTCTCATGCCTGTTTGACGATCTAGTAGTGTTAAACCAGGCCTCTGGAATGGTCAGTTCCACCTTACATTTCTTTTTTTCCAGTCAAAATACCTACACACCTATTCTTATTCAAAAACTATTTTCCTTTTAGACACTGTGTTAGACTCACGTCCCAACCAGCTGATGCAAAATCCTGATCAGCTGGGCATGATAGATGCTGGATTTTTCATCAATACCAGCAGTGCACCACTTTTAAGGCCGCAGAGAGAAGTGGATGTCATCATATATCTAAGTTACACCACTGGATCACATACATCGGTGAGGATGTTCTTGTTACCATGTGTTGTGTCTCCTTTTACTTGTCAATGCCCAGCCTACAGCATCCAGAACTGCTTGTTTTATCAGCTGCTTGGTTTATAACATCTGCATTCCACTGTATTTTTCACTGTAGTGATTAATACTGTTCCTATTTCTCCCTGCCATTCCTGGACTCTTTCTTGCTGGTTTGTGAGCATTTTAAATTATTCAAGGGGGTGTCAGCATGGTCTTTTCCAGAATGATGGGAGGAGCCTCTTCTGCTTTATGCTGAATCAAGCAGGTTTCCAGTCTATGCACAGGAATATTCACAAAGATGAGGAAGTGATTTCTTCTGACTTAAGTGAGAATATCAAAAGGGTGAAGTGGATATCATCAGCAGATTATTTCTGGGCTGACAAATAAGATGCTACAAGTAAAATTCAGTGATGAGCTTCTTCCTGCAGAAAACCCATTTCATGGAGATAAAGTTAATTAGCTGTCTGTAAGAGCTGTCAGAAAAGAAGTTTGGATCTTTTTATGTCAGAAACTGAGGTTAGTTGAAAACTCACTGCTAAGCACTTTGGCCTTCCTAAGTAGAATTGCATTTTGAGAACGAGAACAGCTGTGCTACTGCTAATAAGCTGTATGTTGGATGAGACAGATGTAATGAAGTTTTATTTCAGCCTCATTCATTGTCTAGATAAAATTTATAAAAAAAGGCAGCTACAATTTTAAGTATTTTAGTAGAAACCATTTTCTGTTTTACAGTGTTCGCTATTAGATGGTACAGAGTAAATAACACAGTGCATTTTAGGGCATGGTATTTTATGAAACATTTCAAGAAAAAGCTATGGCATAGCCTAGTACTTCAGATTTTCTCAGTAAAATATTAATCTCAATTAACACTGTGATATAATGACTGCACAGGTACAAATATTCAAACTTAAATTTCTTATCTCCTGGCTTCCAAGTACATAAGATACCTGAAACATTTTCTTGCTGTGATTTCCTTCTCTAGTTAATTCTATACACAGGCTCTTTCATTTGCTAAAACTAGTGCTTTACTCTAAACATCTGCAAATTGCTTCAATTTTTTTTAAAAAGCAGTGTCCTGGATGAATTCTTTAATTCTGAAATTGTGTTTACAGCTTGTGATTAGCAATGTGGTTACTGTGTGTTAATTATGTATAGAGTAATCTTTGATAAGAAGCAACTCACTCTATGGATCTGAGTCATTAAACCTTAATAGTAGATGACAATTTGGGGCCTTTAGACAATGAAGTTGATTTCCAGTGCTGATCATTTTTGTGATCCTCCAGTCTCTAGATAAGGCGTGTAAATACTACTCAGAGCAAAAAATCCCATTCCCAACAATTTCTTTGAGTGATGAAGATAAGAAAAATCTGAAGGAGTGCTACATCTTCCAAGATTCAGATTTGCCAGGATGTCCAATTGTGATTTTTCTTCCCCTTGTGAATGATACCTTCCAAGAGTACAAAGCACCTGGTAAGTTACAAGTAGAGGCAAAGCATTAAACAAAAGACACCACTGCTTCCCTGACTCAGGCATTTCTTCTTTGCTGCTGGCTGTCTTTGCTCATTGGGTTCATGGGGGACACTTTAGCTAATTAAACTTGTTTTCCCCATCCCTGCCAAGGCTATTATGTTCACTCATATCTTAATTGTAGCCCTAAGAGAACCAACACAGCCCATGTCTGCTGGATGGTGTTTACCTTTACCTCTCTCCCATTTGATACTTGAAGTCTTCTTATCTAATTGCAAATGCTTTTTTTTTCTGTGAATGGCATAGCTCTCCCAGATTTTTTCCCACTGCAAATATTGTCTATTGTTCAGGTATTTAATTCTACACTTTAGGAGCCATAGTGTCACATATGAGTGGTGGGAGAGAAAGAATCTGGCTTTCAGGCTGAGCTCCTGCAGTGTTAAGATCATTGTGTTTCATTCTGGTACAGCATCAGCCCAGGTATCATTTTACTGACTATGCTGTGTTCAGGCCCTGTCACTCCTTTTCTGCCAGGCCACCTGCTTTGTACTCCTCTTCTTTACTGCAGGTTACTAGGATGCATTTTCTCTGCTCCTTGGTAGCAGGGAGGTTAAGCCCAAAATAGTGCTGTTGTGGAATTTGTGTGACAGAATCAGAAATCGGAAAGGCATGGATGGATCCCGGTAGCAGGTGCCCTGGACCTTATTCAGCAGGAACTCTCCATTTCCACATGTTTCTATTGCTCCTTTCTCACTTAAACTCAATTCTCCTACTAGCAATTAATCTTCCTCAGCTGAGGTTCATAGAAATGCCAGCTGCCCAGGGTAAGACCTGCAGTGCATGGACAGTGGCATTTGGAGTGCCCTTTCAGGCTGACATCCTTGCCTGAGCCATGGCTTTAATGAGACAGATGTTTCTGAGTGAGTTTAAATGAACACTGTGATGCCATCCCCCACTTCTCCCTTGTGCCCTCCTTGCTTCAGCCTCACAATGTTCTCTTGACTAGGGTGGCGATGTATGACCTGCACTGCTTGCATTTAAACCCTATGAATTTTCTTCAGGAGAAAAGTCCCGCTCTTTGACACTTTATGGCCACTTTGACACTGATTAAGATAACCATTGTGTCACAGCAACAGCAACTCTTTCTCTCCAGGTGTCAAGCGCTGTTGCTCAGAGATGGAGGGAGGCCAGCTTGACTTGACCAGCTCCTGTTCCCCCTACTGCATGTTCTCTGTCAGATACACCGATGAGAACTACTGCAAGCTGCTCAACCTCAGCGAGTACAACATCCTCAACAACTCTCAGATGATTATGCAGGCCTTGCAGACAGCGATGCAAAGGAGAAGGCAGAAAATGTGCTGATCGCCTTTCCAGCTGCCCTTATCTCCTCAGAGGAGTTTTTCATGCTCTAGGACCCAGAAGGGACATAGCTTTTTCAAACACTGGCCATTCTGCACTACAGAAACTACCCCAGCTGGTGCAATGGTTTGCTGGGGTTTTTCCATTCCCAAGAAGTGATCTTGATAAGCAAAGACATTGTGTGGGAAATTTTTACTTACTTTTGTTCTATAAATTAAGGTTGTCTGTAGAACACTGTTTGCCTAAAATACTTGTTAGATTTTTTAAATAGCGTGATTTTAAGCCTAACTTATTATATCACAGAAAGGAAAATAAGTTTTTTACTGCTACAGTGCTACAGTTATACATCACAGCCAACACACCTACAGGCGTAGGGAGTATAAACTTCTGCTCCCACAATTCAGCTTTGTGGAACACAAGGTGCAGCCTGGAAAACAAAGAGAACCTGAGGCATAACTGGAAGCTGGCATTCAATCCTTGGGTCAGCTCTGTTTTACGAGTGTCCCAAAGAGCAGCCACAGAGGCTGGGAATGTAAAGAGGGACAAGTGTGTGCACAGAACCAGCCCCATGGTTCACATCCACATCCTGGACTCTCTTGGGCTGTGAATGAATCATACGTGATGGGAAGGAGCAGCTTAGGAGGAAGTGGCGTAAGACTTTTCACATAAAATTTTTTTTAAAAGCAAAGGGTGTAATTTGGGCACATCAAAATTCCCTGTTAATTTATGTCAGGCTTAATTTGTTTGTACTGAGACAGTATATAAAACCTCAACATTTTAATTTGAAGCTTTCAAAATAAAACACCCTGGATCTTGTTTTCCCTATTGCGTTACTTCTCATAATAAAATACCGTTCTTAAATTAAAAAGAAAAAGTACTTGAAAATATTTTGCTTCCAATAGGCAATGAAAACTTTGCTGTGTTACTCAGTGTAACAGGTTAGGTTATATGCCTATCAAAAAAATTTCTTATTTGTTTAGTTCTGCCCGTACAAACTGAGTAGAATTGAGTCAGTAGCCTGAAACAGCTAGGACCATCTTAAAACAATCCAAAGACCATGCACGGGATCTGGCACAAAACCGCCAATTACATTCGTTGTGGGCTTGCATTTTTAAACATCCTTCCTTTTCCCTTTTATTGAAAGTGCCTTTTAAAAAATTGTTCTGAACTGTGCTGAGGGTGAGCTGTAAAAATTAGAAATCCATAACAACTTTTGCATTCCAGGAGCAAGTCAAATTGAAAACACGCTTTATTAATAAATTTTGTGTCCTAAAGACAACTGGGAAAATTTTGAACAAAGAATCTATTCAGCCAGAAAAAAGTCTATCAGCTACATATTATAATGTGGGACTAAAATAAACTAGGGGAAATACTTGGGTAAGTTGAAACATTTCATGTTAATATTTTACAAAACATCTTTGTTTTGAAACATAACTTCTTTTTAATAGACTGCCTACCTCGTCAGCCCAGGGAACCCAGCCTGAAAATAACAGGGTTCATTCGCAGCCAAATAACATGTTTGGCTTGTTACAAAATGACACTCTGAGGATTTTCATTTTAGCAAGGAGAGATGACAAATTATCTTTACAAATTGGTTCACAATGACTTTTCCAACGCTTTAGTAATTTATTTTGTCAAAACAAAATTTACTTTTTTTTTGCAACTGTAGCCTGATGTTGCCAGCCTAAAGATCTTGGCATAAATATTGACGTTTGAAACTCATTACGTTTTGAGCAACTATGCACTTCTGATTTTTTTTTTTTTTTTGCTCTGTGATAGTTCCACTAGTCATAGACACATAGTCAGACATGTGACACTATGTGTTCTGCATATAATCCTGGGAATTATCTCCATTTTTACCTGAAAACCCTGTTGTGAAAAAGTGAACACAGGTTTTAGCTGTAAACTCTTGCTGCCTCCAGTTCTGAAGAAATGTTATTTACATGCAAAAATTTTATGTATACAGTACAAGACAATAAAGCCTTGTTTGCAAAACGAAAATTCTGCCTTGCCCCACATATTCGGGCATTTCAGTAATATGCTTCAGGTTCACAGTGTGAACATTCCTTGTTCCTGGAAAACAAAACTGCTTTTATCTCTGCCAAGAGCATACCAAATACTTGCTGTGAGCATCGTGGATAAAGGAATGTCTCAGAGACATACTGCAGGAGTACAGAGTGAGCAATGGTCACTCCCTTCTGCAAGGGCTGTCTCTGATGTGGAGTGCAAATGGTGTCCATGAAAATGAGAGTTTTTTGGCCACTGCACTGTGGGAGTGAAAGCCTCAGAGGCCCAGTCCTGATGGACAATCTGGTTAATGGTTTTGCCCTCCAGGGAGATATCATAGTAAAGCACTGTCTTTAAACATGACTGACATGCCAATTTTCTGTGACCTAATGAAAAATGCATTTCATCAAACTACAGCATTGAGCTGGCACACAGAGGAAGCATGCCATGTGTGCAGACACAACCCTTCATGGTGTCACAAAATTCTGTACCCTATAGCAAAAATCTATTCTACCAACTTGGCTGTGACTGTTGATATTACTTTGCATGGGAATGTGCAGAGGAGACTTGTGCTGGCTGGTGGCAATGTTTGACCAGTAAACTCAAGAATGCTCAGGGAATGAGCATCTTTTTGCTCAGAGATGAAGTACTGGGGAAGCAGGGAAGCCAGAAGAATCCCTTTCCCCAGAAAGTTTGATTTGTTATGATCTGTTGGTTATGCAGCAGTCCTTGGCCGCCTTTTCTAATCCTCTTCCAGTGAGCTGTGAGCTGTGCTGGTTTCAGTGGGGTCAGCTGTGTGTGGGCGGGGGCGGGTGTCCTGCCCCAGCAGTGGTGCCACAGTTCAGCCAAGGACTTTGGGGAGGGTCAGTGTGAGGTAAGGGCTGAGTTCTGCATCTGGCTGGCAGGTTTCTTTGGGCCAGACATAGGCACTTAAATGCATCCAGTTTGCAGCCAGAGTCAGTCTGAGCCAGAAAATGGTGCAGAAATATTCATGTGTGTGAGAGCAATAGTGTTCTCTCCTTTTTTTTTTTTTTTTACTTTTCTCATTAGCAGTTTTATTGTATCTACTTACTGTCACAGATAACCTAAATCCAATTTATATACTATTGCTTATTGCAGAATATGTATTTCTGTGGGCTTTGAGGTCTTGCTAAGTTGGAAGTTCAGTGCTCAGGTAAGAGGGCATCCTTCTCTTATGTTTAGTTCTAAACCTGCCTTTGGCCAGTATAGAGCAAAGTGACTCAAACACAGTACTTCCACCTGCTGTATAGGCAAAAGTATTTTTTCCTACGTATTTGACCACAGGATGCAGCTTCCTACCACAGGAAAATGGGAGGAGAGTAACTGGTTGTAAGAAACCAGTCAGAGGTGGGGCTCTGAGTCAGTTTATAAAATAGTTGCTCACCTGCATCTGAGACATTTGAGCTATTGGTGTCTGTGGAAGCCGGGAGATGTGAGATTGCATTGCCACAAATAACACTGGATGTGTGTGTGAACGCGGCCACAATGGACCAAGATGGCAATTTGTCTCAGGTAAGAAGGGTGCAGAGCAAAGCAAGTCATCAGAGGTCTCGAGTGGTTGTGCTGCATGTAGTGCAAAGATGATACTACTTTCCTGACCTACCATTGACTATAATGACTCTATGCAGGATGAAGAAAGCCAAGGCTTCAGGACCTCAATATTGAAACTTTAAAAGTTATAGTAAACCACAGGAAGAAAATGAAAACTACTTGGGAGTAAGAGCATATTTACAAGGGGAGCATTTTGAATATTGAGGGGTTTTATTAATTTGAGAGACACCATATATGCAACTTCAGAATAAGTATTAAATAGCACGGAGGTGTACTTCAAGGTGAAAGATTAATGACAGGGTGTGTTTATGGGAGACAGGTTTGCTGTTCCTTTAACAGCCAGGGCCAGGAGCTGCTTCTCCTCCCCGTGTGTCATGAAGGGCGGACCTTACCTGGCTGCTACGCCTCTGCTCAGGCTTAGTGGGGCAAGCACAGCCCAGGCAGTGGCACCGGGCACTCAGGAAACCTCAGCTCCTGCCAGGGCTCTACAGCCAGCGCTGACCATGGGCTCCATGTCCCTGTGCCTCTGAAGTTCTCAGTTCCCAAAGAGGATTGCCTTTAAGGAAAATGTTGGTTTTTCCAGGGATAACGTTGACCCTTCTTGTTCCAGGAGCTGATCACTCAAACCTCTCAACAAGGAGACGGAGCTATGCAGCTGAATCCTGATGGGAATCAGTGGACTTCTCTTACAAAGGTACTGCAAAGGAGAATTTCAAAAGAAAACTGTAAAGGGGACTTTCCTGCTGGGTGGAGGCTGGGTGAAAACAGGTAGGGTTCAGCATCTGCCCAACAATGTAATTAGCTACTGTAACCCATTCAGTTCTCTCCATGAGGCACTGTCCCGCTTATCACTTTGATCATTCCACTTACACAGTCTTGCTTCATGTTAAATTCCTAGTGTGGCTTCCTGTCCTTGGCACATGGGGAACAATCTCTATTTAAACAAGAGTAATATCTTTAAAAGAATGGGTTTCAATAGGCTTTCTCTGCACATGTCTTGCTAAAGCACAAGGACAAGTTTCCTGCCAGCAGAGATAGCTGGAAAATTATGCCATTTATTCTCACAATAGTAGGGCAGAATCTTAAAGTGGATTTTCAACACCTGATTTCCTGAATTAACCCTTCTTCTGACCTCTAGTAAAAACTAATAGATTTCTGGGAGCCTTCAGACATGAAATCTCTCCTCTAGGAAATGAGAGGCTAGATGTGCTAGAAAATATTTTTACCCTTCCTCTCTCTAGTTTAATGCCATTTAGTAAAAATTAGGAACTCTCCCTTGTTCTGTTTTGTGATGAGGACAGTTGCTGGGCAGCAGGTGTTCTGCTCAGAGTTTAAGGAACAGCCATCCTTTTCTTGATTAGCTGAATGGAAAACCCCAAGATGAGAAAATACACTCTGCAATACAATTCTCTACACTTCAGGGG